TGTGCCACCACTGCCCGGCTGCACTTTGTCCTTTTTAAGAGCCATCTATAAAATCATTAACAGCAACTACATAACTTTAGGCAAAAACTTATCCAGTATTTTTATGAATTCTTAACAAGATGACCTTCTTTTATCATTTGTTAGCAACATGTTAATGTGATTTGCCAATAATTAATAGGGTAAAACAATTTACCCATATCATTTAGTTGAAAATTGTAGGTTCTTTATAAGTAAGAGATTATTCTTATGAGCTACCTGTTTAGCAGTCATATTATTTAATAAGCTAATAACCTGCTGTTACAGATATTACATTTTTATAGAATTTAACAGTTTCCAGAAAGCAACTTATACAAGAGTAGAGCCTACTCCTCAGTAGTGATAAACAGATAAGAGTATAACCAATGGTATAGTTCAAACTTATGAATTTTGCTTTTAATTTACTAAAAAAAATTAAAGATTCACTTAAATTACTTAAGACTACCAGAAGAGAACATCCTCCATCAAAAAATTATGGCCAGAAAAAAAAAATTATGGCCAGTCTAGCTCATGCTGCATCAGGGGAGCCGTCTCATTTGTCATTCCTCAGGTGTTTCTCTGCTCTGGCCAACCCTGGACAGAAATGGCTGACGGGTAGCTCTCAGAGGATGGGAGCAAGCAAGTTCAGTCAGATCCTAAGACAATTTGTGTCGTTGTTCTGTAAGTCAAAAGACATGTTTGGTGGGAAAATTCTTTCTCACTCTTCATGCACACTAGGTGACAAGGACTCTATTATCTTTCTTTTCATTGCTTTAAGTCCTGTGTATATAAAGTTGCAAGACTGTTCTGAATATTTTCTTCGTTTGTTTTTTTTTTTTTGAGAGATTTTTTGTGTGTGTAGCCCTGGCTGTCCTGGAACTTGCTGTTGACCAGGCTGGCCTTGGACTCAAGAGATTCACTTGCCTCTGTCTCCTAAGTACTATGGATTGAAGGCATGTGTCACTTTCTCGATTGTACTTTAGATCTTAACATATATTTTAATAATTTTACAAAATGCTTGGTCTCAGAGGACTGAGAGAAACCCATATTTAATTCTATTCTATCACTTTAAGGCTGTGACCCCTTTTCAGTGGAAAGGACCCCCTAAGCCCCTAATTTCTATTAAAGAAAAAAACTTTTCTTACCTTCTTTTCCTATGTTCATTCCCCCCATATATATGTACTTGAAAGGGGGTGGGTCTCTGCAAGTAGATAAAAATGTTGTGCAGATTTACTTCAACCTGGATCAGCTTTCAGGAAGTCTAATCCCAGTCAGTTCATTGTCAGCATATTTAAAATACTGTGCAACTTGGGAAAAGGTTTCCAGGCAACAATTAGTCCAATTCCAGGAGTGTAATAATGCTTAAGGTGTGACTATATAGAAACTATTTTACAAAGTACACGCAACCAAGAGGATGGCTTGTTTAGCTAAAAGGTGTGGTCTCTGAAAACAAAGATGTCAGCAGACCATAAAGTATGTGTGACATCTTTTATTTTGTTTCATTTTTCGAGACAGGGCTTCTCTGTGCAGGCCTGGCTGTCCTGGAACTCACTCTGTAGACCAGGCTGGCCTGGAACTCAGAAATCCTCCTGCCTCTGCCTTCCAAATGCTGGGATTAAAGGCGTGCACCACCATTGCCCGGCGTGACTTCTCCTTTAAAGATAGGTATGTGACATCTCCTTTAAGGATAGGTAATGGTCTAGGGAGGGAACAGTCTAGAATAACCATTCTGGGGAATTTGGGTGAGGTCTGCCTTCACAGATAACAAGGTGGGTGAGGTCTGTCTCCATAGATAGCAAAAGTTACCAGGTCCTTAAAAAAAAACCCACTCAGCTTTCTGCATGAAATGCAGGTTTGTTTTTATCTCCTGCATTGAGGAAACACCCCTACATGATTAACTCCTGGTTCTTAGTGCTTCTGAGTACAATGACCTCTGTGCCCTCCTCCAGGTTCTCTGTACTCCAGGCTTCCAGGGTCCAACTGTACCTTTCTTTACAGCTGCCATTCTAGGAAAACCCTCAGTAACTGGAACTTCAGAGAACAATATTTACAAGCCTTTAACTGTCTCTCCAATTAAATAATCACTTTAAAATGCATGATTGTCTTTTTGACTCTCCCTGCCTCCTGTGCCCTCGTTCCATTATTTTCCATGTCAATCTTAAGTCCCTGGGATCTAAACTCCCACAGGGCAATTTCTTTCCTATGTGAAGCCACATCCCCTGGGACTTCTTGATGACAGACCTATCTATAAAATGCCATGACCTGCACAACTTTAAGATTGACCTCATTTGGGTGATGAAGAATCAGGTATTGAAAGGCTGGGAATGGGCAGGGCAGTGGTGGCACACGCCTTTAATCCCAACACATGGAAGGCAGAGCCAGGCGGATTTCTGAGTTCAAGAGTTCGAGGTTAGCCTGGTCTACAGAGTTCCAGGAGAGCCAGGGCTACACAGAGACCCTGTCTGGACAACCACCCCCCCCCAAAAAAAAAAGAAAATAGAAAAGGCTGGGAACAACTGGGCTGTGTGCTCTGATGGAGATGCACTAGCATCCCTAAGTAAATCTTTATTATATGCAAACAAGGACATACAGTGTTCCATTCCTGGGAACTGAAGCAACCTTATTCTACTTAATGACAAAGGCAATCTGTGGCCCCCAGGTTAGAATAATAACAGGAATGTGAACACTCCCAGCAAGATCTTGTAGCAAAGGAGACTTTCTTGGGCTTCCTTAGGGCCCTAAGTAGATCCAGCAGCTCTGGACAAAATTGCTTAAATTTGTCTTTAAGTATCTTGTTACCCTCATAGCATTCCAGAGGGGCAGGGTACAGCTCCTCGGTCAGCTGGCTCAGCTTGGCTGTGTGACAAAGAAGGTCCTTCAGGACAAGCAGAGAGATATGATCATTCTTATAAAAGTTGACTTTGAGGAGCCGGGAGCATTTGCTCAGGGCAGGCAAGAGGGCTTTGAAATGAGAGTCTGTCATCCCACACTGCTCCAGTTCCAGAATTTGTAGGGTACTTGAGACATTCTCAAGGATGAGCCCCGGAAGCTTAGGGAGTATATCACATAGAAAGATACCATTCAGGTTCAGATGCTTGAGCTTACGAATATTCACACAATGGGGCAGGTACTCGAAGTCCGACTGTAAGAGGCGATGGCAGCCAATAATTGACAATGTCTCCAAAGGGGTTGTCAGGCAGCTAGGGAAATAACAAGAGATTATTTTTGCAAAATCGTATGTAAGGGGATTTTGGTGGGTTTGAAAGCATGGCAGGCAACACTTGTCCCAAATTTAATCTGTCTATGATGGGTGCAGCTTCATCCTAGGGGTGTTGCTGAGAGACGTTTGATCTGTTCCCTCCCACAACTGTGTCCACTTGCCCATCTTCAAATCCAGTGTCTCACATTTCCCATCATCTACTCAACCTCTTTCTGGACTCAAACCTACCTTTCACACGTGAGCAATTAGAAGCATGCCAGTACATAGTCACACATATATATCTGAGCACAGAACTCAGTCTGTTCAGATATGCTATGTAAGTCTCTAACACTGCTAGGTTTGCAGTGGTCAGATCATCAAGATCTTACTAATAAGGAAAAGGAGATGTGGTGTCTATGGTCTGGAGAATGCTCTTCATCCTCCCTTACCTGAGCCACTTGTCAAGGGAGTCTTCTAGAAGGTAGATATCATTCAAACAGAGATTCTGGAGACGGACGAAGTTGGGGAGCATAGAAAGCAACGTGCTATGCCACTCATCTTCCTGGTCTTCACAAGTAGTAGCACTGAAGGGCTCCTGAATTCCCTCTAACACGAGGGTCTGAAGATTACTCATCTGCTCCAGGTAAGGAACAAGATCTACCAGGAATTCAAGCAACCACTGACTCAGCCGTAGCTCCAGGATACAATTCAAATCCACCAATTTTAAGACCTTTCTGACAGTAGAGACTGGTAAGGCACAACTGTGCAGCTTCCTGCAGCATAGATGAACGGAAGATTTTCTCTGCTTAACCCATTGCAACAAATATATAATCCATTCATCTAAACCGGCCTCTGTGAGTTCAAAATCAGTTACCACCTTAAAATATAGCCTCCTCCTAGGGTGAGGACACGTCTGTGGTGAGCCGTTATCTTCATGGGATCCAACCTGTATGCTGTTGAAATTATACTTCACATTCCTCCTCAAATCAAGCATTCTGAGTTTGCACCTACTGTGGATGAAAAGGGTAGAATTCTCAGAAGACACACCTTAGAGTCTACTTCTGGTCCACATCTCACACTTCAGCTATCCCTTCCAAATGTCTTTTCCCCTATGCCAAGTATCAACCCTTGAGTCTCATGTTCAGGTAAAAAGGAATATTTGCAAGAAAATCAGCTGCAGCCCTGTCTGTCTTCCCTTCATTCCATTTCATTCAAGTTCCAGTCTCATTCCACTTACTCCTGTGTGACAAACAGGGACAGTTTTATTCCTCAGAAGCTATGTCCTTTGAATTTCCCATCATTTTCCCTGATGGCTGAGGCCGAGCCCAAGATTCTACAACCCTCTATGCTGATGCTATCAGAAGCCTCTGACCCACCTTTGGACAAATATTCCCTGTCCCCAGATGTTCCTTCTCTGCACACACAGAACCATCCTCCACCCTACCTGGAATGAACCTTCTTCGTTAACAGGACATTCAACCCATCAAGCAGTGCTTTCAAAGTCTCCAGGTCAAGGTTATCTATCAGGGCTCCAACAGGAAGGTATGGGAAGGGCCAGGCAGACACCACTGCAGTCAGGACCTTTGTATGCCTGTCTGTGAAGCCTCCTTTGAACAGTGTTGAAAATAGATGAATAGGTAGTTGCTCCAGAGCAGAAATGACTAAAGCTTCCTCTGTCAGTAGACTGTGTCTTGCCAACTGAAAGAGTGTGGATGGGGTGCCGCTCATTGTGACTGGTTTTCAGGGAAAATGATTCTGGGAAGCATAAAAAACAAAAACAAAGACATCATTCAGAAAACTTTTGAAAGTCTATCTTCCACACAAAGGCTTCTCTGGACAAAATCACTGCTGTGATGGTAGAGGTTGCAGGTTATGCATTTTGATCACTGGATGTTAGTTTTAAAGCCATACTTCTATCTGGTGTGTGAAGTCTCTCCAAAGTATGCTCTTTCCCAAATACACCCATCAAATTCCAATCACCGCTCAGATGAATACACCCTACTCAGAAGGGGTCATCAAGGAAGCCCACAACTTAATGATAGACTGTTCAATACTCCAGGCCCTCAGGAGACAATTTTGTTATTGCTATAGTATCTCAGCCCTTGCTATCTTGAATCTAGCTGTGTAGATCATTCTGCCTCTTGCACAACCATATAAGGCTTAAATTGGCCCAAATATCACAAGTTGGGTGTTGCTGGCACAAGCCTTTAATTCTCTTGATCCTACACTCAGGAAACAAGTCTATGATTTCTAGACAAGCCTGGTCTACAGAGCCATTTCCAGGACAGCCAGGGCTACCCAGAGAAACCCTGTCTCAAAACCTTCACCGAACACCACCAGAAAGTCAAGACTGGAACTTTCCTCAGAATTTTCTGGAGTTCAATGTTACCCTGATATTCAGAGTGGGACTGTCTAAAAAATAAACACTGAAACTATAGACTCAAAAAACTGACTTGTAGGCTGGAGAGATGATTTAGTGGTTAAGAACACTGGCTGGCGAGGCGGTGGTGGCGCACCTTTAATCCCAGCACTTGGGAGGCAGAAGCAGGCGGATTTTTGAGTTCAAGGCCAGCCTGGTCTACACAGTGAGTCCAGAACAGCCAGGGCTACACAGAGAAACCCTGTCTCGAAAAACCAAAAAAAAACCCAAAAAACAAAAAAAGACACTGGCGGCTGTTCTTCCAGAGGTCCTGAGTTCAATTCCCAGTAACTACATGGTGGCTTACAACCATCTGTAATAGGATTCGAAGCCCTCCTCTGCTATGTCCTATGGGGACAACAATGTACTCACATACATAAAATAAATAAATCAAACAAACAAACAAACAAACACTGGGCAGTGGTGTCACACGCCTTTAATCCCAGCGCTTGGGAGGCAAAGGCAGGCAGATTTCTGAGTTTGAGGCCAGCCTGGTCTCCAGAGTGAGTGCCAGGACAGCCAGGACTACACACAGAAACCTTGTCTCTAAAAAAAAACAAAAAACAAAAAACAAAATATAAAGCAAAAAACAAAATGGCTAGCTATAAGCAACACATACTGGCCTGATGGTTAGCTGGCCCTTGGGTTGGTGAGTCAGCAGAAGCTCTGTGAATTCAGTCTTTCTCTCAAAAATATAATCAGTTAACTAAAGATATATACAAATGACACATTGAAGTAAACTTAAAGCTAGATTCTACTGAGTGAAATAGAGTACCCCAAATGAATTAAGGAATTTACCTGATCTGAACACGTTAAAAATCTCTAGATCCTAGCAGGGATAAGCGGTGACTCCAAGTGGCTCTAGGCTCCAAGTCCCTGAGGGTTTCTCTGGCTGCTGTATTTATACCTCCCACTGTACCCTCCCATTTGTAGCCATACCCTCCCAACCAAAGTCTACAGTCAGAGTTAAAAGTTGGATCCAACACACTTTATCATTTGGGGATTTAGATGGTATCAGGGTGGACTGGATAAAATCTCAATCCAGGAAAAGAAGTTAAACTAGAGCAATAAATAGTAACCAACTCCATTCATTGACACAACTAATGAACACTGACTTGTTAGTTATGGATATAGGGACTTTGTTTTGCT